CAAAATCTTGCCAATTAAAAAAAAAACTTTATGCAACTTTGGTTCTTTAATCATACTGACTTAGCCTGTTTGAAGGACTCCAAACCCCAGGATAGAGCCCACCAAATTAAGAAAATTGATAGTTTGAAATTATTATTTTACTGTCCTTAGAACAGTTGAGAAATACTTTACTCAACTCTAAAATTTTATTCCAGGAAGGATCTGGAACAAATTAGATTTAATGGATCAGTCTGAATGATGCAGATGGTTGAATGTTTCAGAATGTTTTAGATGGTAGAATGTGAAGAAATTGCCACATTAAAATCCTCTATCTAACCTGAACCATCATGAAGACTTCATAGCAAACAGCTTACACCTGCATGTTGATAGAAGACAGAAAAATGAACTTGATAAAGTAAAACCATCTTGGAAGGGAGAGAAAACCAAAAACAGCAACCTTTTCATTCAGGCAACCTCCCCTTCAGGCAAATGTGAAAGTAAGAATGAGTGGGTTCTAGGTAGTTTTGTTCTAAGTTTTTTTTCTGTACGCATTTTCACTGCATATCTAGTTGGGCATAAGGTAATTTTGCCATAAAAAAGATAAAAATCACAAAATAAAAGGGACATAATGAAACATGAAAAATTCTTTACTATGAAATAGCAAAAAATGTCACAATTTCAAGAAACATATAGGATAGGAGAAACACACAGGATAGGAGGAGCTTAATTCTTCTTTTTTTGCCTTCAACTTTAATATCATGTCATAAATTTGGTAAACATGGCACCAGAGAATGAGAATAAGCTATTGTATCTGAAGCAGCTAAGGAATTAATAATTAATATTCTTGAAGACCAATGAGACTTATTAGTTGTCACTTTTATATTTGTCATAGCTTGGTGAACTTCTGGTTTTGATGGGTTGGAAGATAACTTCTTATGGAAGGGTTTGCAATCTGATGTTATCCATTTCCAGCATAGTATGCAATCTGGCTTTACTTTCTTTCATTTTCTCTCATCTCTCATTTCTCTCTGATTTTACACTTCTAGTGAATTTTGTGGCTGTATTTTATAGTAAGTCTTAGTAATATACATAATTGTTATCATCTACTACTTTAAGATTCTTACATCTTTTTGTCACTGTATAGACTAGTTTTTGTTATTTTTATTAAATTTGTTTTCTTATATCATTGTTCATTTTTGTACAATATTTGATTTCTCCCCTCATGTGTATGCTCCATAATTCTCCTCCCACTATAGCTCATTCCACACCTCTTTTAACTCCCTCCCTCCTTCTCCCTGCTGTATGTCTCAGATCTATGGTCAGCTTGCAAGTTTTGTCTTTTTCCTGATCCTCTGTTCAGTTTCTCTATATTCCTCATATAAATGACACAATCCAATATTTGTCTTTCTCCTTTGACTTATTTGGCTTAGCAGAATCCCTTCCAGTTCCATCCATGTTGCCACAAACGGCATGCATTTGTCTTTTTTGATTACTGAGTAGTATTCCATTGTGTATATATACCACATCTTCTTGACCCATTCATCAGTTTTGGGACATCTGAATTGTTTGCACGTCTTAGCTATTGTAAATAGTGCTGCAGTAAACATAGGAGTGCAGGTTTCCTTTCTAATTAGTGTTCTTGTGATTTTGGGGGGTAGATTGCTAAGAGTGGAATCGCTGGATGATATGCCCATATGGACTATTTTAGACTAAGATTTGTATAAAACAAAAATGGGTACGGCATCAGTTGAAACCACCAGTCATACCCATCTATCAACTAGTTATTTCATCATTTATAGCAAAATTGCCATCTGGCCAATTAGTCATATGAGGAAAAAAGCTGTGGCAAAGAACTTCTGGTGCATCTACTAGAAACAGGAGGGGAAATGTGCCCAAGACACTGCCACCCTCACACTAGCTTGAGCCCCATGAGGTGCTGGGTGGCTCCTTTGGCCTCTGTCTATCCTCAACCTCTGATGTTGGAATAAGTGTTGAAAAGCAGACTAAGTGAATCCCATGATTCACTTAGTGAATCTGCCTATCTGAGATGAGGCAGATATTTAAAGAAAAAACTGATCAAGGGGGGCCTCCCCGATGACGCAGCTGTTGAGCGCTGGGTTGCGAAGCTGCCCACAGCCTCTGCAGCACGGGTTCGATCCCCAGCTGCTCCCGGGCCACTGGAGGAGGGTCCCACATGGCGCGCAGACCTCTCCTGCCGCCCGCTGCTCCCCTCAGCAGTGTGCTTCGGTCCTTCTGCCTGCTCTGCTCCCCGCTCTGGCTCTGGTGAATTCTCTCACCCTCCCACACTTCTGACTATACCCAGTGCTTGTATAAATAAATAAACAAATAAATAAATAAATCTTTAAAAAAAAAAAACTGATCAAGGGGCATCTGAGTGTATCCTTGCTGACCCCAGCCCTAAGTCACTTGCTGATGCTCTGTGTTTGGGCAAGAAGTGAGGTAGATGGGGGAGACCTTTTGCTGTTGTCTCCTGGAGTAGCGTGATTATGGTGGTGGTTCTCCAAGGCAGTCGGTGTCTGCGCTTTAAACCTTGGGCACATTTGGGTGCTGGGTATGTAATGTGGGAGGATAACCAAATTGTGCCAGTTACGATTGTGAAAACTACACCATATTCAGGCCTTAGCTGACTTTGAGGCTTATATGAGGATAGTACATTTGGAATGCATGTGCAATTTACAGGCAGACTGCATTTCAGAAGGTTTTAGGCTAGATGCTTGCATTCAGAATGCATTTCTCTTTAGAAATGATGTTTTAAATGCTGGTTTAGCACTCAGTCCACAGAAAGACCTACTTAGTCCACACTATGACTTTGATGCATGAAAATATGTATTTGCAAAAACAACCAAATGACCCTTATGATTACTGCTATATGAATAATTTTTAAAAATAGAAAGAATCACTATTTTAAATGCATGATATTAAATACTGCTAGGTTTAATTAGAGAGAAAGTAGAAATTATGTGGAAACATGGAGTTTCTGCAAGGGATAGCTGGGGAATTTCAAGGGCTTCAGAGTTGGTGGCACTTATTCTTTGCGGTGGGTAGGCTAGAAAATCTGTATGGGGTTTCGTTTTTCATAACCAAGTGTGCCTAGACATGTGTAGAGTTGGAAAGAGACGGTGAAGGAGGGAGCTACTCTAGTAGTTAAGTGGGCAACAATAAGAATGGGGGGTATTGCTTAAGGTATATGTGAACCCATGAGAAAGGCATTTTGCAAAAAGGAAATTAACTGAATGGTCGAAGAGGAAACTATGGCGGGAAACTTTGTAAATCCTTTGGAGGAAACTTCAGAAAGTTGGACAATAATTTCCCTTCTGACACATCTGTGGTTGGTCTGGGATATTTTGGAGGTTAGTCCATTGGGGACTGGAGCATGCTCAGATGAACTTGCGGAAAACTGACTGCTCAGAGATGCAGATGTTTTAAGAGCATTTATTACTGATTGCTCTGTTTATGAAGAAAAGATAGAACCATTTGTAAGGAATTTTATCTTAGTCCACTCAGTAGCTAATATTTAATAGTGATCATTTTTGCCTATACGAATATATTTCTGTCTCCCTGTTCCTTTTACTAAACCTACCCTCTCTCTACTTCTTAAAGAATTAAGTTAGAAAAATTACTTTGATGCAAGAATTTGCCATTGATATTAAGTTTAAAAAATTCCTTGACCTATCCTGTTGATGATAACAAGATCGGATAAACAATTTATTCTTTGGTAATTTCCAATTCATGTTAAAACAATATACTGCTTAGTTTTGCATTATCTAGGGGAAAATAAATTGCCAAGTAAATTAATAGTGACTTCACCAAGAAATTACTTACTTTTTAAGAGGAAAACAATTATCAAGTATTTTCAACTATGCATAGAAAATGATAAAATAAACTAAAATTTAAAAACTTTTATTGATAAAAGATCTTTTAGATTGTCTGGGTCATACTTATTAAATATAGGTAAAAGTACTCTGAGAACCTGAATGTAATAACATTTCATGTTTTTTATGAATTTAGAATTTTAAGACTTCATGAATTTTCATAATTATTTTAGGGAACTTCTACTTTATATCATAATCAAATCTTATATTAATTTTCTACCAATTGGGGATATTATCAAATGAGCATAATTAAATTGCATTTAAAAATTTATAGCCTCAGACAGATTTTTAATAAAGTCTATACCGTGAAAATTATAGGAACTGCAGGTGCTTACTTAGTATATACTTGCACTGAGTTTCCACCAGTCTGTCAACATTTAAGGCAAATCATCTATAAATACTGTTCCAGTCACTGTAAATGATTGTTAAATTGCAACAAGAAAAAATAACTCACAACCAACATGGTGCACATTAAACAAGTTACATAAAATGTACAAACATATATAAACAGTGTCAGAAATAAAGTAAACATTACACTCAACTAGAGTTAGAAACCTTGCTCATCATTCTGTGCTCCAAGAATCTTTGATCAAACTCCAGGATATGCTAACTACAGAACAGGATATATGAAAGTTCTCATTACTTAGCTGTTATAATTAACATTTGATGATGCTATTTAATAATAAGTTATTATCCTTGATGACATTAAAATGATCTCAATGAGAAGCAAAGATAGAAGAAGTTAAAAAAAATTCCAGGGAGAAAGTATTTGAAATAATTTTGTGGAATACAAGTGGCCTTATTTATTATTTTTGTATAAAAATGAGGCTTGTTGCTTCACAAATTCTTGAATACTGAACCCCTTTCCTCTCTTTGCTTGGTGAAAGAAAGTCTTTCACAATAAATAATGTGGTTGGGAGTAGAGGTTAAGACTGTCCTGGATGACTGAGTTAGTATTTCATAAAGCATGCCCTTTGCGACATTCTAGCAGGGGAACTGTGTCTGCAGTTCAGAGGCTCATTCTTAAATGAAGTTCTTTTGGAGGACAACATTTGATTTTAAAGTTTTTTTCTCATTCAAATGGGACATTTCCAAGGGTGTATGTTAACGAATTTCTTTCCTTCCCAGAAAGAACCTAAAGCCATACTTGGATCTTAATTTGGAGGCATCAGCTTCATGGACCCTGAGCTCCTCCCTAGTCAAGGTGTGACTATCAGGTAGGTGTTTGTGGAAGCAGAATTTCAAGCCACACCTGTAGCCTCACAGACACCATGAGATCCACATGTGCTTGAGACTGAGGGGCACTATGTACGACTTCTCTATAAGCTCCACTAAAGAATGGGGTCCTGAAAATTCTAGTTGGGGGATTCTCAGGGCACTGAGATGGCCTTTGGTAAATTATTGCATTTCAGCACTTGCCACTGGCAACATCTGGAAAAACCTTTTTTTTTTTTTTTTTTTGACAAAGATCCTCATATATTTTGGCAATATGCCAAAAAAAAAAAAAGCTTTTAAAGTAACTTTTTGTACAAATTCCCCCAAATATGACATGTCTATTTGTGATTTTTCTTGGTTGTGCTATCTATAAAAGGTACATATTGGCATAGGCTAAATGACAGGTTACTATGAGCAATAAAAATAAGACAGTTAAGTTTTCTAGAAGTGATATTTAAAGTTAGGCCTGACATTTTAACTACGTAACTAAAAGAAAAGTTCTGTTCAATTATCATTGAATAACATATAATTACTTCACTTAATATAAAAAAACCAAGCCACTGCTTTTATTTTTTCATTATCACAATAAAAATAAAGCTTCTGTTAGACCCACCTTTATATCCTGTGGGTTGATATCAGGATTTGTTTGGCAGTGGAGAGGTCCCAGAGTTTGAATGTGAAAAATATAGAGAAGAAACTCATTCCTGGCAGAGAATGGCCAGCCCACCTCCAGTAGGGTGTCACTGATGGCACTTGGTCCAATGTTGTGCAGCTAAAAGCAAAGAACATGTCAGGTAATGGTACAGCCCACAGCAAGATGATAAAATCAAACTCTCTAAGAAGCATTTATTTTTGGTTTCAACTCATCTAGAATAATGACTGGGGGAACAGCATCTGTGTGGGGAGGAGCAGTCCTAAGAGCAAGACGCGCTCGTGCTGAGGGGCTCTTCAATCTGTGAGGCGCTAAGAGCAATTTTCCCCAGCAAAGACCACATGATTATTGTGATGTTTACCTTAAATTTATATCAATTTAATCACGGCATTAGAAATGCAATTTTAATTATATGCTTTCAAAACCAAGTTATTCTTTCCTTACATTGAAATCTGCCTCTTTCCTGACTACTGACTTGTCAATTGCAACCATATGGGATGCACTCTCTTTCACCTTCTAGAAAAATGGCTATCCATCAAGGGTCAGAGACAGTAAAGGCTCACCACAGTTCACTTCAAGTACGCGTTTCAAAGTCGAGTTCCTTCTGTTTCAATCAGCAAATGGCAAAGAAAGGAAAGCTACATCTCATAAAGAGATGAACGCTGTAAACACACAGACCTTGTACTAGCAGAACCAAACAGCTTGCGAGAAACACTTAGTGTATTTAAATTTATTAAGATTTAAAAAATTCACTTTAAAGTTAGCAGAGACCTTTTGTCTTTTTTTCCCACAAAGAGTTCTGACAATTACAATGATCAATAAAATTCTTTATAGTTGATGGTGCTTATTAGGCGGCCCCTTTAATTCACATTATCATAGCAACATGGCATCCATTGCTACAGTACATTTGGAGACATGACATTAGCAAGTAAGAAACTTTCCATGATTGCTTTTGATAGATTAGTACCCTAAATTTTTATGATCCGTTTATGCTGAGATTGGGAGCAGGGCTGCATGAGCATTATCGAGTTTGAATATATTTTCAAATCTTAAAGCTTCACCATCTTTACCAGAAACTGGTGCATACAAGGTTTAATAATCGACAGCATTTTTCTCCAGTGAGATTCTTTGTTGGAGTGGGCTTGGGGACTGTGTTAATGTCTTGCTATCAAGAGAGCTTAAGGCAAAGCTTTGATCTGGCTTTGGGCAGGAATTCTGATTCTGAGCTGCAGGTTGGGCAGATGACAGAGGTTTTCATGTTGACACTAAGCAGGCGTTGATACTTCTTTCTCACACATGTAAACAACTCGTCAGCTTTGAAATGCTTTATTGTTAGCCTTAGCGAATGCTCGGCATGTCCCTTGTAGTTTGAGATGAGAGTCATCCCCAGAATTATATGTCAGAAGCAAGAGTTATACATTGGAAAGGGACAGAGAAATTTAACTGAGAAGGAACCCCAAAGAGAAAATTGCTTGAACATCATTTTTACCAAAACTCCATCCCTGATCCCTTGAAAATGAGCAGGAATAACTACTCTTCTCCACCAATTTACTTTAACAAAAAAGCAACTACTAAATGTATGTATATGTTGGTTTATAACTTTAAAAAATTTAAATATTCTAGATGATGGGCCAATAAAGCTCTTCCTATTCATATTTTAACACTTGAAGGGGGAAAAGATCATCAGGTCTTTTTCATGTGTCATGGGTTTGTTTGCCTCTGGAAAGTATTTTACTCATTAACAGGCTATTTCAAATAGCTATTGATGTCTCCTTTGGGTTATTTAGAATAACAGTAATATCATTCTTATCTGTCAACCACCCAACCATCTTACATATGCATTTTTTATACAACAGCAAATAATCCATAACTTTTTCAATGTTTTGTACCTTCAGGTTGGTGATCTTTAGTTTAAGTGGTGGGTGAATTTTAAGGGGGCAGGTCATTTTAGTGTTTAGGTTGTTGAAACATTAAAAACAGAGGAAATGAAGAATATTTTGAAAAGAGTAACAGTTTTAAGATCAAAATATTTCTCACTATGTAACAGATCCCCCCACCCCCAGTGCATTATGATGGCACAAGAGTGCAGAGTCAGGCAGTATTGAAAGCCCAATCTTGGCTTGGTGTCTTTTAACTCTTTGCACTCCGAACCATTCTGGACATTGGCTACCAGGTACTTGACGCTACTTTGAGGCGGAAACGTGCATTTACAGACCCTCGTATTATTTAGTATAATTTTGGAACCAAGTAACGTATTATAATGATATTGGGCTTATATGAATTGGGTGACATCGAGGAATGTATATTTGCAAAAAAAACAATATTTTATTGTTTATAATTTTGTACAGTATGATAAGTTTTGTAACACTCCCCAGTATGCATTGCAGGCTGATTAGTGCATGTTTGACATGTCTGTGTAGAGGTCTATCTGGAGCTCATCTTCACTACTACTTGTGTCATGAGACTCATTCGTGGTTGGACGCTTTGCCATTGTTCTAATAAAAAATATGAATAAATGCATGGGTTGAAAATTTCTAATTGTTATTATTAACTGACAAGATGATATTTACCAAAATAGCTTTCACCAAACAATTTATTCACTAAGAAAAGAATCACTTTTCCGATTTTCTCCTCGTTACATCTATGTGCACTGCTCGAAGCTTCAAACCAAAATGAGCTCAGCTTTGAAAATCTTTTCCTCCAGATGTAGACTTGTTTATTTGTAATTATGTATCTCACTATACAGTGCGCGCTATGTTCGAAAACCGACCTTTCTTCTACAAACTCCCCTTATCGCTCTTTTCAAGTGATGTTGCGAAGTTCTCGGACCGTCGTGAGCACGCATCTCACGTTCTCGTCCGACACGAAACCCGCTGACATTTCTTGTATATATCTTAGTAATTTTACGATATTTTGATTTAATTTCTTGTGCCATTTCAAGATAAAACTTCAGGGAAACATGCATGTCTCGAAAAGTTGCGTTGAAATAACTCAATTCCCGGGCCTCCCCTGTGGCGCAGCGGTTGAGCTCTGGGTTGCAAAGCTGCCCGCAGCCTCTGCGGCGCCGGTTTGATCCCCGGCTGCTCCCCAGACACTGGAGGAGGGTCCCACATGGCGCGCAGACCTCTCCTGCCGCCCGCTGCTCCCCTCAGCAGTGTACTTCGGTCCTTCTGCCTGCTCTGCTCCCCGCTCTGGCTCTGGTGAATTCTCTCACCCTCCCCCGCTTCTGACTGTACCCAGTGCTTGTATAAATAAACAAATAAACAAACAAACAAATAAATAACTCTTTAAAAAAAAAAAAAGAAATAACTCAATTCCCCGTAATCACTAATAAATTGCAATGTCCCCTGAGAGGGGACAGCGGAGTGCAAAGGGTTAAAATGCTATGGAGAGCTTATTAGTAAAGAACATAAGACTGACCACCCCGCCCCCCAACACAACTTTAACACAGCCAACAGCTACCTCATAAATATGTTCCACTAATGGTCCAACTTCCTCCTCTTGGCGGGGCTCCTCTTCCGGTTCCCAGTTGTGAATGGGCAGAACAATCTGCAGAGGGTGCGACACGCTGAAACATGGAATATTAAGTTAATTGTAGATAATGACACATGTAAAGAATGTTTCACTAGTGTACAGCACACTAACAGGCGCAGAAAAGTGACTCTCAATATATTTGAATAAATATTGCCTACATGGAAAAAAGTAGCTTCAGCAGAAGGACTGAAGGGGGACAGACAGTAAAGGATACGAAATATCTAGCATAGGCTCTGCTTTTATTGCAGTAATATTTCATTATAACATTGAAGAATTTTCAGGTATGTGTCATTCAGTATCAGCATGTGTATGTACTATAACAGCAGGCTCGTGATCACTGGTCTCTTGCCGAGAGATAATTATTTTACAGAATCTTATGTCTTGGGCACTAAGGGGCAGAGCAGAGAGCATTCCTGAATTGAAGTTGATAATTTAATATATATCAATACTTACATAACTGTATACATCTATCAGTAGATTATGTGTGTGAGAGAGATATAATCCCTGTTTTAAGCAATGTCAAGACATGCTCATATGAATAAAAAATGTAGACTTTTGTGCAGTGTGCTCTATATTCAGTTAGGAAGAAATGTAATTTCTTGTTAAATACTTTAGAGTGGAAAAGTGCCACTTGTATATTCATCTTTCCTGTTTATCTTTGGCTCCCTACTAATTCAGCCATACCTCTCAAATGGCCCAGAGGCAAAACAAAGTTGTAGCGTTTGGTAGGTAGGTAGTAGGATATTTACTTAATAGAGAGGTATTCCTGCCTGCAACTTAGACCTAGAAGGTGAGCAAGTGTATATTGGATGAATGAAATATAGTTCACGGCATATTCCATATTAAAAACTGACTATGCACCAAATTAGTTATTTTTATATAATCTTAAAAAGGAACATTCTAATTAAAATGATGCCTTCTAGCAGTTTTTAAGAAAAAGTTATCTTTAAAACAAAGGGACAGATAAAACCGAACGAATAACAAACCCTAGAAATCTGACTGTAAATTGAGGCTGGGGGTGGGGGAGGACATGAGGAGGAGAGAAAGGGAGGAGGGGCCACAGTAATATATGATGGGAGACTATGGGTGCTTTGGTGGTGGGTGTAGTGTGGTAACTTACTGCTGAAGGGTGTGATGTGATCCTATATCTCTAAATCAAATACAGTGTTATAAACCAATGTTACTTCAATTAAAAAAAAAAGAATTCCTAGACCTTCAGCTAAAAATAAGTAACAGAAAACATTTTTTTTGGCAATCAGAGGTCTTAAATGCCCCCCTTTTAAGGGTGTCCAGTAATTAGCACAGTCACTAACAGATTTGACATTATCTTTTCTTCCTTCTTGGTAATCGCTTCCTAAAAACAGAAAGCAAAATTTATTGTTATATTTTGACCTTAGGGCAAGTAATTTAATTTCTGTGTTTCTATTTCCTCATCTGGATTATAATGATAAATTCATTGGGTTCTAATACCACAAATGATTGGAAAACATCTCAAATGCTTTTGGTCAAAGTTAATTGGTCTACATTGTCTTCTAGACGGGTGATAGAAATACATTTTAAAACCTGACAACCCATAGAAATGTGGCGAAATGTAAAGCCCTGTGCATGTATCCTTAATATTCAAAGGTTAATTAAAAGGTGCAAGGTACAGCTTTGCTATGCTGATATCTCAAAATTCTCTACCCTTATATTGAGTCAAGGTTATACCATATTCCCTTTTCCTACTGGGTATGATTAAGTCATGTTCAGCTCAAACACAGGGGACTTGGTGAGAAGAGTAGAGAACATGTCAGGCTGATTTCATCAGAGGGAAGCTCAGTGTGCTTGAGCTTCCATCCTGTACATCTTGACAATCTCACCACCCAAGACTTGACTTTGCTCTAAGATGGGCAACAGAGATGGCTCCATTCTCCAAATCCATTATACAGCTCTAGGGACTTACCCCCACCCCCTAGAAAACAAGTACAGAAGAGGAGCTTAGCACATTTTTAATGACAATTTTTGTTCTTATGTCATTAATACTGTGGGACTGGTCATAAATCCTCTAGGACCACAGAATCAGAAATCTTTGCACCTTGACAGGTGCTAGAGAGACAATGTGCTCAAAAACCCTCATTTTATACAGACATTTAGGAAAGTAGAGGGTTAGCTGTGGGTGAAGATGAGAGTTCAACATACAGTGTACCACAAGAGCTACTAAACTGTACTGATTTTTAGTAAACGCAAGTTAATGAAATGTCCTAACCATGTCTGTAACATAATCAAATAAAATATCTCTAGAGAAATATATATAATCTATCACAGGGCATAACAAAATCATTCAAAAATTATGGCACACAAAATTCAGCTATCATCTCTCTAAAGGATCTTTTCAAATCTGGGAAAACCATGTCAAAGAATGGCTTCCTAAAGATCGCAACTAAATAAGTGAAACATTGTTGTTTTCAGTTATTTTTTTAAAAGAAGGGTACAAGCAAGAAAGGAAGAGAGAATACAAACAACTAATTAGCCTAGGGTCAACAGTGGGTGCAGTTATCTAATAAGATTTACTGAATTCCCCTCACCTGCAAGATGAAGGTAGAGCACTATTCCACTGAGATTGACATAATAATAAGATCAGTCTACTTATTGGTACTATTAGATATTAGGAGAGACTTGAAGGGAAGGAAGGAATTAAGTTTTGATCATACCCATATGCTCTGAGGAAGTTCAAATCTGATGATGTACAAGTACTTTTCATAACTCTGTTTTCAAATCCCATTAGTCCCAAATAGCAAAGACTATCATTTATTGTATGGAAATATTTTGGCTCTGCCCACTGTAGACAGTATTTGTGGTTATTCATGATTGTAGCCTCTCTTAATACAAATCCACTCAATCCTGATTATTTTACAGAGGACACAATTTTATTATTCTTCATGAAAATATGTGGTGCTGCCTATTGTGGCCAATTTTGTTTGTTAGATCTATGGTAAACTGATTATTTGTACCAACAAATGACATCTTAATTTGTTTAAAAACAGTGTTGACATTTTCTGGCTTTGGAATAAATGAACAATCTTCAGTATTTTTTTATTTGAAGAAGTAAGTCCATTTGATTTAATTTTTTAAATTATAAAACAATGGTAAATTTAAAAAAGAACTATACATGATTAAATACATTGGAATAAACAACTTTGGTAAAATGAAAATTAAATATCCCTGAAGACTGACCAAAAAGACTTTCAACATAGTAGCTATTTTTACCTTGAAGAATGAATCATTGGAACCAATATATTTGATGAGTATTTGGAGCAAAGAGTTTTATCTTGCAAAATGGCTTAAAAAAAAATGCCCAAAACCTTAACACTATCTGAAATAATAAACTGTGACCAAATTTTGGACATTAATCTAGCAATTAAAATAATTGCAACCATATGAGAAATCCAATTTTAATGACATGTTTTGATTATTTGCAAAACAAATAGGAAGTTTCCTTTTTTTCACATAGAAACACTAGTGTCATAAATATTAGCAGAAATACATTTAAAAATATTAATCTCATAAATAGACTTGTGAGAATGGGTTATACTAAGCCCTTAGCTGCATTGAAGTGAGTTGTATCTTATAGAATAATAATGGTTCCCAATTAAAAGTTTGTTTTTAAATTAAGAAAGAGTTTCAATTTATTTTGGCCAGCTAAGCTCAGCTCAGCTTAAAGGAGACAAAATTTCATATGTACTAGTTGTCAGTTGCAAGATAGTAAAAATAATGCTGTGTTTCCTTCTCTGATTTTTAAAAAATAGTGTTTCTCACATCTAGAGAGGGCTAGGGGAATTACATTAGAAGTGCACAAAAGTAAAACATCTAAATTAACTCTAAATATCTGTAAATCAACAAGTTATTTCCCACGAGTCAACTCATAAGTTAAAGAAGAAATCTCAAAGGAAATAAATATTTTGAGCTGACTTATAATAAAACCCAACATACTGACATTTTGGTAGCTGCTGAAGCAAGTGTTAAAGGGAAATTTACAGCACTAATTAAGTGTGTATGTAAAAAATAAAAGCAGAGTGGTCTAAAATCAGTGATATAATTTCTACATAGAAGAACTAAGGGAACCACTTCTATACAGTCTTGCACTGGCAGTCCTAGTCTGTGCAGGAAGGGACGAAAAAGAAATAAAAGGCATAGTTTTGTAGTAAACAATTTAACTTTGTCCAAGAGGAGGTCTGGCCTTTGCCCTGAGGTTCTGGGAGGTAACCTCTGAGGTCCAGAAATTCTATTCCTGACAGGAAGAAGTCCTCTCAGTGTGCCTGGGGGCCTTGGTTCACAATGGATGTTCTAACATTATGATTTGAGGTAGGGGAGGGTTTGATTGCATCAGAAAAACCAACTGTATGATTTGGGATAGGAAGTTTGGTCCCATCATATCAGTCTACCTGGAGACTGAGATCAGATGCATTAATCAGCCATCCAGTCAGTTAGTCATGCTTACGTAATGGGGTGCCAATAAAGTCTCTGAACTGAGAGATGTGGGTCTTCCAGCTTGGGGATATTCCATGTATGTTATATACCAACAGCAGAAAAGTAACATGTCCTGATGCTACAGAAGAGAACCGAATCCCCTGGTTTGGGATCTCCCTAGACTCCGACTTATGTACTTTTTCCTTTGGTTGACTTTTATTTTTCATTTATTCATTTATTTTTAACTTGTTATTTTTGTTTGAGATAATGCTGGTTTACACTGTATTTGATGTAGGGGTATAGGGTCACTCCTCTTCAGATGTACATCACCACATCACACCAACCACCAAACCACCCATAATCCTCCATCCTGCATCACCTCCCCCATTTACTCCAGACCTTTCACTCTCCCCTCCTGGTAGCCTCAGTTCTGCATTGGGATTTCTGGAGTTTGTTTTGATTTGGTTGTTTCAGTACCTTTGTTTTGTTTCTTTATGTTCAACATATGCATGAAATCATCTGGTGTTTGTCTTTTTCTTGATTATTTCTCTTTCTCCTTTCCAGTTCCACCTATGTTACTGCAAATGGCAAGATTTCATCCTTTTTTTAAAAAATCCTCTCTTTCTTAGCTGAATAGTATTTCATCATGTATATGTGTGTGTATATATATTATGTGTGTGTATATGTGTGTGTGTGTATATATATATATATATATATATATATGGTTGTAAAACCAAATGCTTATAACATAATATACTGAACATATATATAGAATATATATACTGCATCTTTTTTTTATTTGAATATTTCTTTATTTTCTTACACATTTGTTAGTTTTTGGATAGTGTTACTTTTGGCTGATTTTAACCTGTATCTTTTCCTTGAAATAAACTAACATGGATATAATAGTTTTTAATGAGTTTTTGAGTTTTTCTAAATAGATTATCAAAGTTGAAGGTGGATTTTGGATCTAACCAAATCTGCCATTGATGGGAGAAGTGAGAATAATTCTTTGTGGGGAATGTCTTCTCTAACTTTATAGTTGGCTAAACTTTTGCACACACAGAGTAGGAAGGAAGAAATAAAGCTGTCTTTATTTGCAGATAACGTAATAATTTTGTAGAAAATTCTAAGAAATCAATTAACATTAAAGCTAAAGCTTGTAGTTTACCAAGATCTCCAGATACATGACTGCATTTCAAGACTTACAGGTGAAGATCAATATAGTGAATAGAAACTACAGAAACAGACCCACAGTTATGGTCAGCTAAATTTCAACAAAGGTGCCAAAGTAATTCAATGAGAAAAGGATGATATTTTCAACAAATGGCACAGAAACAACTGGATACTCATATGTAAAAATGAACTTCTTCCCCTACTGCTCACCAGATACAAAAATTAACTTAAAAAGTAATCATAGGCCAAAATGTAAAGCTATAAAATTTATAGGAGAAAATCTTATGACCTTGAATGAGGACACACAGCACATACCATAAAGCATTTAAAAGTTGGATTTCATCAAATTTTAAAACTTTTACTCTCTGAACAAAGCTGTTTAAGAAAATAAGCCAAACCATAAGTTGGGAGAAAATATTTGCATGACATTTATCTGATAAATAATTTTGTATTCAGAATATATAAGGTACTTTTTTAACTCAACAGCAAGACAACCAACCCAATAATAAATGAAAAACATTTTTAAAGAGATACTTTACCAAAAAAGGAGATACTTAGAGCAAATAAAGAGTGAAAAGATGTTCAGTATCATTAGTCATTGGAAAATACTAATTAAAACCTTAGAGAGGTACTTCTTTCTACACAATTACTAGAATGACAAAGAACAGACAAACACAGAGCTCATGCTGGCAGGGATGAGGCACAACTGAAACTCTTGTGTGTTGCTGGTGGTAATACCAAATGGAGATGATACAGACACTTTGGAAAAACACTACAGCAATTTCTTATGAAGTTAGATCTATTTTGCCATCCAGCTCAGTAACATTTGTAAAACCAAATGTCCAAAGACCTGCATGTGAATGCTTATAACATGATAATATACTGAATATAATAGCACCAAACTGGAACCAAATGTTTACCAACTTGTGTGAATGGGTGTACAATTCCCGAAACATCTGTATTAGGGAATACTTCTTGGCAAAAGAAAGAAACGAAGGGAGGTGGAGAGGAAGGAGGAATAAAGAAAGAGAGAGAAAAATAGATGACTCACACATGCAAGAGCATAGATCATGGATGTTTTTCAAATGCACTATGCTAAGTGAAAGAAGCCAGACTCAAAGGCTACATTCTGTATGAGTATATTTACATGATTTTCTTAAAAAGACAAAGCTACAGTGACAGAAAATGTATTATGGTTGCCAGAGCCTATGGATAGGTGGGGGTTTGACTATACAGGAGGTGAAGGAACTATTTGGGGGTAATGGGACTGTTTTATGTTGAATCTCCTCAATGTCATTAATTCTTCACATTAGACATCCCCAAAAAGTGTGGGTTTTATTTTATGCAATTTATACCTCAATGAACCTAACTTTTAAAAATGGTCTAAATCCTATAGGCTGTGAAAAGTTATTTGCAGTACGTGTCACTGATAAAGAATTAATGTCTACCACCTATAATATAAAAAGAATCCCTATGAACTAGTAAGAAAAAGCCAAGCCTCTTAGCAGTTATATGTGCACAAAACAAAACAGAAATTTCCCTGAATGTGAATTGTCAACAAGCACACAAAAAAGCTACTCACTTAAGAATCAGGAAACTACAAATTCAATTTTCAGCTAGCGTTGTATTTCCTATCTATCATATTGACTCAAAATTAAAAATTGGACCACATGAGAGCTGCCTATTCATGTGGAACAATGGAAGCTTATATCCATTTTTGTGGGACTGTACTTTGAAATAACTAATTTGAAAAATGGTTTGGTATTATCAATATTGAGTAAAATTAATAAGTGTTCACTCTCCAATCCTGAAATTCTAGTTCTACACCTATATCCCTCTGATACTTCTTCTACATATGTACCAGCATATTTGTACAAGAAAATTTGTAAAGGAAAAAAGAGTAACCTACAGATTTTCAAGAGTAGAACCATTCTACTCTTGAAAATTTGGTATAGCTTTACAATGTCATACCCTTCTGCAAATAAGATGAGTGAACTATAGGCACATGTACCAAAGTGGGTAGATGTTGAAAATATTATTTGAATGAAAAAAATCACAGATGCATACATAAATTAAGAGTATATGTCGATAAGATTCAAAGAAGTCTTCCTCATAGGCAGTATAACATGGACATATGAACGTGCCCCTGAGGCAGGCTGGCAGTGCTTCATTCTAGCTTTCCACATCTTGGTTGTGTAAATTTCAACTCCTTGTGCTATAATTCTGTTGCTTGTACAGGTAAGGTACTCATATGTATTAAGATGTGTTAACACATAGGAAGTATTGATAGATGTTAGGCAGCATTATTATTCTTTAATCCACTAGGTGGCACCTCAGTGGTGCCAGGTCAGCAGGGAGATCCCTCCCCCAACTCCTTTTGAGAGCAACAGATGCCAGCAAGAAAAGCCCTCCTGGTGACATGTGAGTGCAAACATTACAGTTGCTATCCTGGAGGGGTATGAATCACACAGGATCTATGGGAAAGGAAATAAAACCCAGATTTCTAGAATCTCAGTGACATTTCAGTCCACAATACCAGTTTACATTTTTCGCCAAGTCTTTAATTGTTCTGAAGAAACACGAATTATAAGATCAATGAAGTTCACACTTATGCAAAATAAATACATGCAGTCCATTTATAGTTTCTAACATTTCACCCCCACATGAATTTTCAGATAGTTGTTATTCTAAATCTTTTACCTGACTACTCTCCTCTTGTCTCTCTATTGTGTATTAGAACCTCATCAAAGAATAGGACAGAAGGAAAAAGATACAGAATGTAGATCTCACTAATTATCATACCTGGAAGCCAGCCATTTCTTAAACTCAAGAGGTGGTATGGGCAGGCTGGATTTTCATTATGCCTTCATAATTATTGATGAAGTGAGACTTTCAGGCAATCCCAAGGTTGTCTATTTTATCTTGCTTCTTATCACTAGTTTTTATAGTTTGATTACTCAACTGTCAGTTTGGGGAATAAAGTGATCTCTTTATAAAGTGCTTTGATTGATATCCTTAGTGTTAATTTTCATACAGGGTTTACTCTACTTTCCAATAGAAGGCTAATGATGGGTAGAAAGAATGAAAATTTATAACCAAAGTGAATTGTGATTTCTAAGTATTAGGAAATTTAGTTTTTGAACATTTTATCATAACTCTTACATATAGAAAGATATATTTATTATGGAAAAACTACTAAAATTCCTTGTTTACTACTTACCCTCTTATTTCAACTTGAGCTATAGCAGTGACGTTGATTTGCAGGCTCACAAAATTGCTGTTTGGGTTGTCCTTGTTAGAACTAAAACACAGTGATTTAAATACATTTTATTAGACATTACTATAATATATGATCATAAAAACATTCTGTATATCACAAAGTCTAAGCCAGTCATTCAGAAAACAATGGCATGCATAGTCAATCTACAAAATCATAACCTTTGTAAATGCACTGCTAACATCCTCTATCATCAAAAGTAATGTCATACCTTTCTATGAGGAAAGCTCCTATCTGAGAACACTGTAGATATTTAGAGAAGCTAACATACTTTTGTTTCCATAGCTAAACCAAAGAGGCAATGAGTTGAGTTCATTTTCCAGCTTCTACCTTGAACAAATTCCTTAACGTGTCTGTGCATCATGTTTATCGGCCATCATATGGGAGAGGATAGCACAGCCAAGTCCTGATTTTCCATGCTAATAAAGAGGTGAACTGGCACAAATAATCCATGAGCAACAAATAATAGAAAAGGCATTTGTTTTTGGCTCTGGAAGGCATCATGCCATACATTGTCTTGGCAGCAAATTGATCTTCTTTTGGGCTTATTTCTTAAGTAATATTACAGTAAGTGTACATTCGTTGCATGCTCACTGGCTGAACAGGGTGGGCATGAGGATGAATTAAAAGCATGGCTAATGGTGAGAAGCAGCAAGATCTAAGGAAGTTGAGAGTTCATATAAAGGCAAGTAAGAAAGCTAATAGATATTTGTCCAGTGCAATGAGTGTCCCAAGATAAAAGGTGTACATTTAATATTTCTTTGAACAGTGGCAAAACTATTTTTAAGTTTCTTTTTTTCTTAAGCAGATGTAACTAGATACAGAATTTGACTTTTAAAAGATGCATGTGTTAATCAGTCACCACTGTAAGGAGACAGAATATGTCTTAAAGAGGTTCAATAAGTAGCTAAACTTTGGGTGCAGTCTATCTTTACATTGATAGTTTTACTCTGCTGTCATTGAAGTCCCCTCAGTATCCCAAAGCATTAGCAGTTTTTAGCAAACTAAGCAGTGGCCACACCACCACTTGCAGGCTGTGTTTATATTTAGGTCTCAGTAAGAAGAGAATGTTTCCCTTTTTTTCATCACTGAATCTCATGCTGATTCAATGGAAAAATGGAGAAGATGGTAATAGGGTCTGTTTCGACTAGGTTTTGAAGCTTTCCAAATGTGGGAGTTGGAAAAGATATGATAAAAATCGGCTTGCAAAGAAGGAGGGGACAGAATTGTTCCCACAATGCTTTTGAAAAGTCCTGTTTGATTGTATATACTGATAAGGCAACTTAAACTGCAAACACACATAAAAGATATAAACAGGCAAATGTCAGGCTCATTTCCTGTAATCGGGTATCACTGCTTAGCTTGTGATGAGCCTAGAGGGACTTTTTCACCAAAGTTTGAACCCCAGTTTCTAGGCCACTTTATAATTATCACATCTGGGGAGGATCAGTCAACTAAAAAGGTTTTGTTTTTTTTTTTTAAAGGCAGGATTTTGAATTACTAACCACTAAGAAGTCATTAACTAATTCCACTTGTTCCAGACTTTGTGGTTCCAAATGTATTACTGGGAACTCTTTAGCTTGGAAATTTAAGTCTAGTTGTTCCACAGATTACCCAGACTTTGTTCTATTTTCTAGTTCACTGCTGCTTTGAAAGTAGTGGAAATTAGAATTATTAAAAAAAAAGTTCCATGTAAATTAATCCATAATTCTATTACATTTTGTTTGCAAGTGGTTTAAGTAACACAAGTTCATTACTTACGACACCCTGAAATGTAAATAGGTGGCAAGCATTAAAATCATCCTGGGTCAGGAGTCAAATATGAGGGTGACAGAGGGCTGTTTTGAAATATAGAAAAAAAAAGCAGACTCAGAGCAAGATCTTCCTGGCTGACTAATCAAGATTGTCCTGTTTGCCATGACATTTGGTACTGCAACCAGTGGTGTCAGCAACATCTCCTGGCAGAAAGGCACCAGACATGATATATAACTTAGACGCTTCTTTGACCTCTTTCCTGGAAGGAAACCGTCCTCACTAATACCACTGCTACATTCAAACAAGCCGTTCATCACTGTCGTGGGTGCTGAGCTATTTATACTGCCAATGTGCTAGCTCTACGCAAGGAATGGTGAACTTCCTCCCCAGGGCTACACCCTCTGTCATGACCCAAGGATAAACAAGTTTTTCACATATTACTCTGATTTTCTTTTTTTCCTTATTGTTTCCTATTTCCTATTTCCTTGCATTCCCTTTATGCTTTCTGTGGGCTTGGGAATGTCAGCAAAGACAATACAACATTCATTTCACCATTACTGAGAGAGCAACTTCAACAATGATCACCAAGACCTGTTTGTATGTGGGAAGTGCAATCTGAGACCCACTCAACACAGGGAGGAAAATGTTTACATGTCACATAGAGCCAGGACATGGAGCTACCATTTAATACAAATATTTGGTAATATGAAATATTTTAAGTTTATTAATTTATAAAGCCCATTTCTCTTTTGGGTTCTATTTGTGGTAAAGGGCATTAAATGTTGGCAGTGGTATTCAATATGATCAACAGTTTCAGAATTTAGACTTCAGAGCCTTTGGTTCAAATTATTTTGATTTAAACATATTTAAGGGCCTCCCCTGGTGGCGTGGCAGTTGAGCACTGGGTTGCGAGGCTGCCTGCAGCCTCTGCAGCACCACTTTGAACCCCGGCCACCAGCGAGGGTCCCACAAAAAAAAACCAAAAAAAAAAAAAACGATAAACATATTTAAGCTGAATGCAAACTATCCATTAAATACTAATGTACATCTTCGGAGTCTGCTAGCACAGCATCTGGATAAACATCCACTTCTCAAATACCTTGTATTCGAGTGTTTAAAGTATTATCAAATACTTTTATCCCTATAATGTATATTTCTAGAATTTGATGCTTTAGGTATGTTTCTGTAGCCTCTCTAGTTCTTTCTGCATTTCTACAGTTTTATATTTCTCATAATACTGTTAAAATAGTCATGAGTTCTGTGGCCCATGAGAATGGGATTATAATCATGACCCATTCTTTTAGATAGTGGAATGTAAAATGTAACTATTTCTATTTTCCATCAAATTCAGCACTTCATTGCTGAATTCATTATTTACATGATGATCTACGGGATGGATCTGGGAAAGGCATAAAGGTATCCAGAACATTATTCAGTGTCCTTTGCTCCTTGAGCAAACTACAGTTGCATCCATTTTGTTGTCTGTAAGTGCAATCAAGAGGAAGAAGGAAACATCAAGGAATTTGCCTTGCACCTTTGTACCAGATGTTTTTTCTGAATGTAAGTTGCATGTTTTATGAGCAATGCATTCTTCCCAAGTGACACGAGACTTCGTCCCCTGCAGGACTGGTGCCATTGACAGTGATGATGGAGAAATAGGAACTTTGGGCTACTGTCTGGGGTGATGACCCTTCATTATGGAGAAATTTTTCTTTCTTTTTTTATTCTGAAAACTTAAAATATAAACAGGACAGTTCCTAAGTGATCATCTTTGGGAATACCTGAAACTTTTGGAAAATATACATTTATGTAGTGTATTAAATAAGTGATTTAACAAGCTTTTGGTAAAATGAAGGGGTATGACAGAAGAACTCATTTCATCTCTATCACATCACTAGTTTGAGTAAAGTTAAAAAAAAGCTCAGAGTCATCAGGAAAAATACTTAAGTTAAATTAAAAAAAACCTAATTAAGATCAGAAAAGGTCACCAAAAATAAGCTAGAAAAAGTTTCTCCCTAGAAATTCAGCATGAAGTTTGAGACTGATTTAAAAGTAGATTTTAAAAGCTGCTACATTCTTATAGGGTCTATATAGTTTTAAAAAAACAAACCCTAAACTTCCAATTGAAGTACCTGTTAAAAAGTTATCCACTGTGCAAAATAAAACTATTCTACAAGTCATTACACACTAAAAATATTTCTTGCAAGTCAGAATAAAAGTTTAGAGATTAGTTATTTGCACAGTTGCCTTTGAAAATCAAATTGGAGACACTGACTTCAGAGTCATTTTACAGTTAGAACAGGGTTCAACATGCTTGGCAAGTATAAATAACTGGAAGGCATGCATGAGCTGCTTATATTAATGTCTCAAACTTTTAAAATTGCAGAGCACAAAATAATGATACATCTCAATGATCCATCACAAAATAATGATACATCCCATGTGTGTCACACATTTACATTTTATCTGAAAGGAATATCTCATGAGAAGGTGTCTGATATATTATATTCCATTTTTATTCTTTTTCTTTCAATATAGGTCTGGAGTCATTAAATTGATTCTATCACTGGCTAATGAATTGAAGCCTATAATTGGGGATCCCTGGCTCTCATGCATACTACTCATTGTCTGTCTGCTCATTAAATAACAGAGTAGATGGTGAAAGGGTAAAGTTTCATGTGAATCCCTGAGCAGCCTCAACCTAGGAAAAGGAAGGCAGCTAACTCTAAGATTCAGCTGTAGTTGCCAGGGAATGTCCTGCCATCCAACTATCTAATCTCATCAGCATCTTGCTTAGATGCTCAAAATTAATTCATCATTCATTCATCCTTGAAAAGTTAGAATTCAAGATTGCAAATGCAAAATCTAAGTTTGTTTGGCAGAATTTTCTCTTGGGGATTAGCTGACACCCCCCCCCCCCATTGAGAGTATGAGAGGTGGTAAGGTGTTTGTGGGAATGGGAGAAGACACATGCATTAGAAAGAGGAAAAACAGGAGCAGAAGGGTGGGAGAGTGCCCAGGCAACACTTGAATCTCATAACCTGGCCCCCAGAAAGAATCTCTTTTATTGAAATAAAAAATACTGAGAAAATAAAAATAACGGAAAACAGAAGAAAATAAGCTGTGCAAGTCTGGGTTCTAATTTCAGAAGAACTTTCAGGGCAAAGGAGCTTGATAAGTGATATTCATTGGTATTCTGAATCTTTATTAAATATTGATGATAATTTAAATATTTAAAGGTCTAACCTTCTGATTTGTAGATCAAAGTTAATGCTCATGTTTGTTTTCTCAAGACGTGGAACTGCAAATCGAAGGCCCAGAGAATACTAAAAACAAAAATAGGAAAAGCACACAATACATTACGTTATCACATGGGAGGGACCTTACAGACAGTCTAAAACTCCTTTAAAGTCATCTCTGCAAAACACCAACCTAGATCACTTTTCACTTATATATCTGAGGTGGCTTAGCAAAAGCCATGCAACTTAGCTGGCAGGGCCCAGAAATTTTGAATCCCTCTTTATCCATCATGAGCTGCTTATATTAATGTCTCAAACATAGAGGCTCATGAGAGCCTCTATATCCATCAAGGTCCCTCTCTTCATTTAACCACAAATTGACTCTCCTCCTGCCGCCTTCCTTCTGGGCTAAATTAAAAACAAATTAAATATATGACAGGATAGTAACTTAGAAAAATGCAGCACTTTTGTTTCATGGACTTTAATGACTTTTTTATCATAGATCATCATCATTTCACTACCTCTTATTCAATGTGCTACAAGCCAGGTATTTCACTAATGACTTTCCATACATCATATCATTGCACTGCTCCAAACATCCCAGTAGGGTAGTCTTCCATTTCAATTTCACTTGCCTAGGTATCACAGCTTATAAGTGGCAAATGGAATTTAAACCCAGGTATGTCTAATTATTAAGCCTGTACATCAAGAGGCTCACCCATGTTCCAAATGTGCAAGTTTCTATCAGACCTCTGGGACTTTTTGCATGTTCTTCTTTCTTCTTTGGAAGACTTTTAGGTCTTTTCCAAGTTTTCTACTTGGAGAACTCCTATTCATGCCTCAAAGCTCAGGGCAAGAAACTATCTGAAACATGTCCTCTCATCCCACAGACTGGATAATGCTAAAATTTTCCTCCTTTTTATTCCCTGTTTCCTTTTTTACAACTCTGCATCACTCAACCTATGAAAGATCACTAATTTTAAATGTCTTCAGGTTATTTATTTTCATCTTGATATTGTTGGACTAGCTTAGCACCAGACTCATAGAAGGAATGCAATTAAAATGATTGAGGGATGATGAAAAAGAGTGTGCCATTGCACACACACACTTACAGTGCTGTATCTTACTATACTGTGATGAAGTCTGCCCTATGCTGTTCTTCACTATTCAGCATGGGTGAAGATATAATGAAGGTGAGTATTTCTTACTAGTAAGACACACCCACACTGAAGACCAAATATCTGGGCATTGATTGTAAAGTGCTTTGTGAAGCAGAATTTTTTTTCATTTTCCTGCTTGAGAGATTTTGCAAGTTTTAGTGAATTTTGTTGGTGCAGAAATATTTTATATTACTAAACCTATTCTATGAAAATGACATTACTGCTTACAACTCAGCAGTAAAGCTTCTGAATACTACTTTGAATGCTTTGTTAACTTAAAATAATGAGTCACTTGATCACTATTTTTTAAAAATATTGGGACTTGGATGAATATTCCCAGTGATTTATGATGCTTTTAATATTTAGGACTGTTTTTGCATTTGGAATTTTATTACAATCCACTGAGAATTTTCTTTTCAAAGTGCAAAATGAAGAAGTAAATAAATCAAAGTGTTTTATAACAAAACAGAATGCAATAAAATTTGATGGTTTAAGGGCATTAAAGGGTGAGATAAGAAAGCTATTAGGTTTCCTCTGCTATAGCCCTCAGAGATAAAACGAATACAAACAATTTACTTCCTTGACTTCTAAAGATTATTTGTTGGTAAAATGAACTAACATTCTTTCACATAAATACATTCATAGTTAAGACCACACTGCCATTTTTACCCTCCAATTTCAATGACACTAGTGGCCACTTTTTGTTCCATGATTATCCTTAATTATTAATGGTTTTAGATGGTCTCTGGTCTAGATTTAACACTTTTAATACTAAAAAAAGGATTGAGTGGCCAGTCACCTATAGATCCTGTTACCATTACCATCATGTCATTTCATTTTTCTTTGGGTAGACTTCTTCATTTCAAATTAGGTGGTTGGATTTTTCTTAAAAACTAGCAGAAGGATTCATTAGCTTTTAGATAAAAGGATTCTAATGAAAAATGTTCTAATATCTCAGCTTAGACATCCCATTTTATCTTTCATGACATTGTTTTAAAAACTCATCTGTTATTCATTAGATTTTATCTAAGTACTTTTGACAATTTGGCAGACTGGACCGATCATGGGCTTTTTGTATAAACCTGGTTGAATCTTGCTTCTGTTTTTCATTGCCTGTGTGACTTTGGGCAAGTCACTTGACTTCCGTAAGTCTCAGCTTCCACATCCATTTAGTAGAAGAAACTCCTGACTCATAGGTTGGTTAGTGTGAAAATTAAATGATAACATAAAAATAGTGCCCAGTTGGGTTTATAACATGGAGATCAGTCAATACATGTTAGCTAATTGTAATCTGTTACAAAAGTTTATCTTTCATTTAAATACTTTTTTTTTCACACAACAAATGAGTTTTCTAGACTTACTTGGCACATTTTTAATACTGAAGATTGAGGGAATAGAGTTAATTATAGTGTAAAATGCAAAAATATTATTCTAGTACATCTTAAAGTATAAACTGGGAATAGGTATCACTTGATTAAACATTTCAAATGCTGAAGTAAATGTGTTAAACCCTGGAGAGAAAAAGATAATTTTACTGCAGGACTTCTTAGTACATTTAAAAATACACATATGTACCTGAATCTCCAAGGGAGAAGATGATACTCAGCAATGACACAAAACTTCCTTTGAAAGGTTTAACTCAAGGTCTTAGCACTCTGGACTAACTTAGGAAGCTGTTCTGAGACAAACCTATGCAATTATGTGTAAGTTTTCATGAAATTTTTTTAAAAAGCCAATTTCATTGATAATCATAAACACCTAATTTAAAAATAGGGGAATATATATGCTTAGCATATGTAACATTTATTTATATAGTATTTGTAGATTTCAGGAATTTTCTGGTTTATGACTTTGTCAAATAATCATTTCCACAGTGGTATTTATTATAATTAGTTACTATGCATATACTTAAAGAGCAATTGCCTAAAATAAATTTATCATCCATGGGTAATCCTAAATGGAAAGTTCCTAAATCCAGAAACAAAGATTTTTAAAAAGAAAGCAAAACAACTCCATATTCTTTCATAAGCATGTTATAGATCATTATTAATCCTTTCCTTTTCTTGTTACAATTTTCTTTATTATTCTTCAAGTAAGATGTATGGAAAATATTAGTGTGTAAAGCTTATTCAAAAACTTGATTGTGGGGATGAGGACTATGGACTTTGCTGCCTTAGTGGTGAATGTGGTGGTGTGATAATATACATCTGAAGAGGTGTGAACCTGTACCTCTGAATCAGCCACAGTGTTGTAAAACAATGTTATCAATGAAAAGTGGACTTTGTTAATATTTTAATATAGAAGTACTGTGAATGATCTTCACATGGCAGGTATATCAAAAATAAAAGCTTTATCGTCTTTGCTAAAATTTTAATTATATAATTTCTTAAGTCCTTTACTTTGTTGATGTTTTTAAATAAAATTGGTGGTGAAATGCAAAGAAAAAAAATCTGATTAAAAAAATAGCCTTCATAGATTCTAGTGACTTAACAGACAAGAAAGTAATGTCAAAAGACAGGCATATATAAATATTTTTAACCTCAGATTATCCTCTCTGTCAGTTATAATGATGAATCCCATCTCCCTGGTAATTTCCTGACTAATCTATTTTAGTGTTATGTGCCAAGTTGCTGAGTGCTAACTGGGCGCTTCCCACTAGGTCTCTTTAAGATTCAATTAGACAGAAATCAGTAAGAGCCTCTGGGTTTCTCTTACATTTGTTCCAGCCGCCATCGGGTTTCCAAGGTCACACACCACCATTCTGGTTACATTTTCCATCCTGTACTCACAGCTCAGTGGTCGTAATCCCTGCAATGGAAAAGAACACCAGCATGGAGGTCAAGGCCAGAATAAATGACATCCTGTCACAAAAGTGATGCCTTGGGTGAGGGACGCTTCTTTTGATTTCAAACAGCTGTGTGGGTAACTATGCCCCAAATTAATTTGTGACCATCAGAGAAGAGACCAAAATTGAATTTTAGAAAGAAAAATGCTGCAATGGTAAACATATTTTCATTGTATTTAATTGAGGAAGAAAATGTTTAGTATTTATGTGACTATTTTAGAAATTATTTTCACTATTAATGTTAAAATTGGGTATGAAGATCACAAATAATTAAAGGCGACTAAACAAATTATTCTTCCAATATTAAAATGATGGTAATACATAGACATAGCGCATGACTCCATAACTATTGCAGAAGAATTGCCTTGAACACAAATTCTGCTCCTCATGGTCCCGTTTTGAGATTATGCAATCAATCTAAGTTTAACTTTCCAAATATTTAAGATGAGAACACTTTTTATTTCCCTAGAGTTTCCTATCTCCTTCTCCCCCACTATATTCTATTCTGATTAGAGGGTATAAAGTTTGAGGAGGTATTTAGAAGTAGATGCAGAAGAAGGTCTCAAGATTATACCAGATGAGAGATGGAAGAAAATATTTATCTTTGAATGGCTGTCCTCTGCTCACAGTTCCACCTGGAGTTTTCATGCTTCTCCTGATGCCAGGAAATCCACACCTTGGTTTCCACTCTCAGCCCATTTCCATACTTCAAGACCTAATGTCCCCATGGCTTTGTTTTGCTTTTGGTGACAGCTACATGTGATCATCCATTATTCCATTCTAAGTTGTTAAGTGCTACTACTATATTCACCTGTCACCTTTATTCCCAGAGATAAGCTTGCAACGTGAGGACTTTCACAAAGGAGCAAGCTTTGGTGAATTTCTGCCCCTATGAGAAATCCGTGGAAGAGGGTTTCCAAGATGAGGACTATTTCTCCACTTGTCAGCTCTATGAAATTTCATACAAGGAGTTAACGATTTTACTGTTTGACAAATGAGAAAGGAGTGAATCACTGATAGTTGGAGGCACCATTTATACATGCTCTTTTCAAATAACCTGAAAGACATTTTCATTCCAGTAGGTAAGAAACATATTTTCAAAAAGCTGATAATAATCTCTTTTCTCAAAGATAGCTCTAGCATGTATTCAAGTTCTTAAGGAGTCATGCCTAATCCTGATCATCTTGGGATGTCTTATGCTGGGATTATTAACTCAATCCTAAAAGCAGGGAAAATAAGAACCCAACTAAAACTTTAAAAAATGCTCATGTGTCCCTTGAAAATGATTCAAGGATTTAGTTTCTATAGTAAATAGTTTTATCTTATCTAAGGTTAAAAGTTATATGTACACTTTTTTCCAGCTCTCTAGAAATAGCTTTTTCAAATCACTCAAAGATCTTTCCTCCTCCAGCCCCTCCACCCTTTTCTTTTTTTAACCTTTATTTCCTCTCTTTGAGTGACAGAAACAGGAATTGTTTTTCCCAGATACTTCTAGATTAATTTTCAACTTTTCCAAGGGATGCTCTTGTTTGAAGTCATTTATAGCTTTTAGAGTAAATACTCACAATGTACCTATTATTTACCAGGCATGATATAAAAAAATCCCTTCTCCTCACAGAATTTCCAATTCTTATAACAATTGTAATAAGTAATGATAAGTGATTATATCCAATAGTAGAAATACACAATATAGTTTCATAAGTGTTATAACAGAAGTAATAGATAGTGATAGGAGGACAAGCACATAGATTAAAGCAATCTGAGGGCTTCCTGAAGGAAGTGACATCTCAGCTGATGGGAGGCAGTATAGCTCAGTGGTTAAGAGCAGGGACCTGTACCTAACAGCTGAAGTTTCAATCTTAGTTCTGCTATATAATAGCTGTCTAACTTTGGGTATATTCCTGAGAATTTTTCCTTATATATGAAACGAGGATAATAATAATCTTGCATGTCTCTATAAGCCTGTTATGAAGATTAAGTAAATTAAATATCTGCAAGAATTCAGAGCAGTGCCCAGCACACAGTAATTGCTTAATAAATATTAGCAGTCTCAATAATTACTAAGCTGAGGCTTGAAGAATAAGTAGAAAAAAAGTAAGTTAAAGAGGATGAGAGAGGAGAGCTCATGTTTCAGAAAGATGGCATAGGGGGTGGTTGCAAGCTCTCTGGGGCTAGAGAGCACAGGTATTACAGAAACTGAAAAGAAATTCAGTCCCACTAGAATTTTGGATGTGGGGGTAAAAGAAGGAATCTTGGACTAGTGCTAGGGCTGCAGAGGTAAGCAGCGGTGATAGAATTAAGGACTTCATGAGCCACCTCAGGGATTGGAACTTTATCCTAAAACCAGTAGGGAGCTAGGAGGATTTTAATCAAGAGAGTGACAAGGTCAGATGGCATTTTAGAAAGAAATATCCTTTGCTGGGGAGAGACTAGCGGAGGGGTGGGAAGTGAAGGGGGTAGGAGGGGTGAGTGAGGAGACTGTGAACTAATCTCAGAAAAAGGTCAGGGCAACCTGGATGAATGCAGTTTTGGGGAAGTTAGATGAAGAGGGGATATGGACTTGAGAAATTCACCATTAATTTAGGCTTTAGAAACTAGATGGATACTGGTGCCATTCTCTGACACAGGAAATGGAACAGAGGAGCTTGTGAGCAGGGGGATGAACAGTCTAGTTCTGGACATGCCGAACTGGAGGGGGTATGAGATGGAGAAGTGAAGTATATATGAGGTCTCTAGAATAGCCGTAGCCATAGAAATGGAAAGCAGAACAGGGCTTACAAGGATCTGGGGAATGGGCTGGGGAGTTAGTATCTAACGAGTACAGGGCTTCAGTTTGGGCGATGTAAAAGTTCTGTGCCACAGGGGACTGTGGTGATGGCGCATGGGTGCCTAGGGGAAGGAAATTCTATGGGGACTCAATCTGAGGGGGTGGGGGAAGCAAATATTGTCTAAAAAAAATGTAAAAAATGATAAATGTTAAAATAAAAAAATAATAAAAAAAAGTTCTGTGCTAGATGGTGAGGACTAATGTGAATGTATTGAATGCCATGGAACTGTATACTTAAAAATGCTTAAAATGATAAACCTTATGTGACATGTATTTTATAATAATAACAATAATAGTAATAATAATGATGATGATAATAATGTAAAGCACATTTGTCTTTATTCCTACAAAAATTGAGTTAATTAAGGTTTCCAGAAAAAGAGATGAGTAGCACCTACATTCAAAAAGATGAATGTTTTCAACAACAAAAGCTCGCAAGAAGATAATCCCTAATACTTTTCCCCTTGAGAGAAAATTGTTACAAACAAAAAAAAAACCCTGGAAACTGAGTTTAAATGAAACAGTTTACAGACCTCAACTGTTTAAAAACACAGTAGAAATTAGATGTGGCTTAGTCATGTGAAATTCAAAGACAGAGCTAAATCTCTGCCCAAGGGAAATGGAAGGAGGAAAAATAGTTAAGGACTCATTTGAGATTATGAATGATGTGTGTTACGTTTACAGCCAAAGATAGAAATGATAAATGCTCACCCATGTTTTCTTTTCAACAAAGTGAATAGTAAACGGGGTGTTTTGTTCAAAGAACATGTTAGAATAGATGCTTTGTTTAGCAAAGTTGCGGTGGAGCGACATGAAGGGAACTGAAAGAAAAATATGAGTGGAGCCCTAGAACATTAAAAAAAATACTTGAACTTTGTTTATGCATTATTTTACATGTAAGTATTTATAGGTGATATTTTCCTACATATTTCATCAGCAGAAATTCTTAATGATTTCACAAATGTCAAAGATACTTGGTTATTACTAATCTGGATTAGTTTTCTACTGAGAAGATAAGCTAATGAAAACTTAAACTTCCAGACTAGAGATGTAAATAGAGAATTCTGTATTCCCTGCATTTTGAAATGCCAACATCACAAGTTTCTTGATACCTCTTTAGAGGAATTACTTTTTATTAAATTATTTAATTATATGAATATCCACACTCCTGAAAGTATGTGGTTTTCGGCAAACAGAAGACATTTGATAAATTTTCACAGATGAGCAATCCATCAGCAAGAATTTCAGGAAGACACACTGTGCCTAGTTTTGTGTGGAGGGCAGAATGAGAGAATGAGAAACCTGGTCCCGCCCTTAATTGTGAAATCTGTGTATTTCTGAAACCAAGGTCCTCTCTCTATTTTTACATAATAGTTGTAAAAACATTGATAATGATTGATAATGATTTTCCAAACCAACTATTGATAATGATTTTCCAAACCAAGTGATTGAAAACACAGCAGAACATGCAGATACTCTGAGTGGGAAAATCCCTGTTCTGATAAGGACAGACTTCCACATCACTTTAATAAACAGTGGCACTGTATGACAGGCTCATGATGAAAACCTGGCTTCTCTTGGTTCCAATCCCCAAAAAGATGTACCAAGAAGAAAGACAAACGAATGTGTTTCCTTTCCACTGCCTGCCTCGGCTGTTATCAGTGCTCAGCTGGGATTGGTCAGACCTTCTTCCATAAGCAATAATAAGAACCAGACCTCCTGGGACCTGCACTGAAAACAAAGACTTGAAAGTCAGCGAGAGTGGGAGTTAACTGGGAAGTTAGCTGATACATCACTTCAGTAAGCTGCTGCTTTCAGCCAGTTGTATTTTCTTCTTTGCTTCAGCTCTCAAACTTGGCCAGCTTATCTTTGCTCTGTGGCCAAGAAAGATAAGAATCCCTCTTCCTGGCTCATTGCTATTATTGTTAACAGAGTAAGGTGCCATTTTATTCTCTTTGATTTAGGAAGACACTGTCAGCTAATAGGGATGTATATTGATTTGGCTCGAAAAGAGATCTAGCTCTTTAGTACTTCAGATAAGTTGCAGGCATTACCTTGTTGCTGCGTTCAATCCCAACATAATCTGCCTCTTCTGGTATTAGCACAAAGACTTCAGCTTCATAAGCTCCTTCTCCTTCATTTCTTGCATTGATCATGAGCATAAGGTGATTTTCATCTCCAATGATTACCTGATGCTTATCTCTAAAAATGCAGTTTTAAAAGAGTTATTAGGTACTACTCTGGATTCACGGAAGTTTTATTTAAGGAGTTTTCCAGGAGAGAAGAAGGAAGATGTGGAAATGCAAGACAGGGACAAAAGGAAGAGGGTGCATTGTGAAAGGGCGTTGGGAAGAATCAAGAGAACTCCATCTGGATGGGAAGGACAGGAAAACATCCAGTGGTGTGCTGGCAAATGTCTAACAACCAGTTCTCAAAGAAAAAAAAAAAAGCACTGATTTGTAGCATTTGCTGAGTCCAGTGATGTAAGTCCTGCCACTATGGGCAATTTCAGTCGACCAAGATATGTAGCAAACTGCCAAGAAAATTCCTGAAAATTTAACATTTGATCCCAAGCCAGAATGAGGCAACTCCAGACTATCACTGAAACCATCCAAAAGGAAGAAGACGAGCAGTGAGGCACAGGGAGCGAGATGGTGTAGAAAGTGAGGGGGAGACATGTAATACAAAGTGGACCATAGAAGGGAAGAAACTAGGCAGATGAAAGATCTCATGTAGCAGAGTGAGGATTTTTAGGTAGTTTAAGGAAATTTAACTCACCCCAAACTTCACATTGAACCAACATTTGTTAGTGCCTATCCTACCTTTAGTCCTTACTTGAAGCTATTGTTTTGGACACTGGCTAAATTGTGAAGTTTGGATAGAGGTTGCCAAGCAGATTCCAAACACTGGCAGTGAGATAGTTGCTGGGAAGGAAGGGAGCACAAATTTGCTCTTTCCTCCACAGGATGTTTTACATCTTAGTCCCATTTCTTTCCATCACATAATGCAGTGCAATTAACAGTGATGGGACAGAGACCCTCCCTTATGAACAACTAGGAAGCCCTTTGATTCTTATTGACTTTGGGATACCTTCTAATTTACTCCATAGGGTGCCATTACATTTTTTTTTCCAGAAAATTAAAATTGATTTTGCTTCCAAAATTTTAAACATGCCTTTGAACCAAGGGATGCTGCAAAAGCCGGTTTTGCTAAGGTGTAGTTAGAACAAGCCAGTCTGAATCTTTTGCCCACATGACTGAGACAAGTAAACATGACCTGAACCACCCCACAGATGAGTTTACTCTGAACAAAAACCCTTTTTTCCACTTTTGCTGAAAGATGAAACAGCTCAGGCAAAATCTAAGGGTGCGTCACTTGACACCAATGACAAAGGAGTGACCCAAACCACAGGCTAACCCAAAGTGTAGTCAAGCTCAAAAATTTCATGCAGTGTGTTTCTTAATAGTAGTTGAAAGTGTATACTTTCTCCAGAGAAGTTTTAAACAAACACCTGTATTCCATTAGATAAAATGCACAAGTTTATTTATTTAAACTTACGGTCTAGCTGACAGCTTCAAGTCAGGAATGCACATATTGTCTTCTCCACAGTCCACCAGGATGTGAGCCTGCATTGTGCAAATACATGTGAGGAATAATCTTGGAAAACCTAAGTCACATCCATTTTCTTTGATTTTACAAATTAAACCAAAGCTTTCATTTTCACGATGCCTCTGCCTAGCTAGAAACCCAATGTTAGGCAGTGACCTCCCAATCTAGGCTAGTTTACATATTAGCCCATTTCTAATTCATTCTGAGATCCTGTAAAGAATGCTACTCTGGCAATGTTTTGAGGATTATAGGCTGTATTGCTTCCATTACAGCCACATTTTGAACAAATTAAATCTTGGTTGCACAAGGGGACAGGGCTTCCGAAAACACAATGATGCAGTGTTGTGGAAACATGTTAGGAGAAACTCCCAAATGTTACAAGCTTGTGTGCAGGAATGAAAACAAAAGGAGCTGGATTTCATCTTAAGGTCACAGGAGCAATGCCCAGGTCCTGACTGAGAGCATACCATCAAAGAATTTCAGCGACCTACCTGTTCACTAACACTGTTGTCCCTGTAGTAGTTCAGTATTGGTTTTACTTCCAGACCTTCTTTAAAGGTGGAGTCATCCAGACTGTAATTCAAACTAATGTTGATTGGAGACAATTTATCTCGGAATTCAGTTTCATCCTGGAGAAAATAATCACAAGCTCAAGAAAGGTTCTGTGAAATAGCTGTAGGATGTTAGTCTGTGAAAGTCAGACAACATTTGACTATAGTCAATGGAAATGAATAATGAAGTAATTATCACTGCAGCACCATAGAGTAACACTGATTGATGTGGGATGTAGGATTCAACTTAATTAATATATGTTGAGAGATGAAATCCTTTAGAGATGTGGCTTTATAGAAATATATGCTTCTAGAGGGAATCTTCAGATCCTTCAGATCTTCAACAACTCATCATGTTCCAGTTGCAAAGTAAAAACTATATATACAATAAATGTCATTAATTGGGATTTTAATTTTCCTGAGTTTGGCCAAATTTATGAGTCCTCATAGGCTCAGAGAAAGAGAGCATCTTGATTCTCTTACTCTCTCATTATCTTTTCAAACTAAACCCTCTCTGGCAGGAATGTCAATGAACCTTCAGCACATTTGAAGTTCCCTCACAAAAACAAACAGAACTCCCCTGGGAGTGAGGGGGTAGCCCAACAGCAAGCCCTGCGCACACAGGAGCTCCCTAAACTGTGTAGGGGGCTATGCTACCTTTCAGCTGTGTGGAGTCAGGGTCATAATAAGCTCGGGTGGTAAACCCAGCTTCTCGTTCCAGAGTGTGTTGTGAACCTCTGGCCTTGCCCAGGTCTCCATCTCTAAGTCCTTTCTCAGAGGATGGGAAATGAGAAAAAGTAAATAATCTCAACTAAACAGGAGATAGATAAGTGTGCTGTAAATATTTTGCTTTTTTATTTCATGGTTGGTTTTGGAGTTACTGGGTAAAACATTGCTTTAAAATATAATCATACATTACTTTTAATAAAGGTTTTGAATGCCTAAACATTTTCCTAAACTGGCTATGAAATGTACTTGACCAAACATCCTCACATAGGACAAAAATTCAAATAAATTGTTTTCAACTTTCATGCTTTTTGGGGGGAGGCAGTTAGAAATGAAAACCACTTGAGTTAGTCCTATTATCAAGATTGTGGTCAGAATAAAAAGAAAGCTTTAGGACCGAATAGAACACATTATTAGGTTGGCTGAAGGGAGGCTCAAGTGGGGAGTGTACAGTCTTACAAGAAAGTTTCCTCCAATTAATGAAAATAGTTGTGGATCTACAGGGATGACTGTGATGGTTCAATGGAGAAAAGTGGTTGCAATGTGCTCTGAGCACAGAGCTCAGGAAGGTGATTCTGAACACTTACTCGCAGGTAAACAATAAAGTCCCGGCATTGGTGGGATTTCTGCCTCTTTATCAGGAGAGAGAAGACCAGATGTGATTGATGGTTGTCAAGGAAGAGGGTACGTTTAATGGCTCCCTTTTGTTTCAGGGTATCTAATTGCACCTCAGCGGTCAGACCTAAAGGACAGAAATAAGTAAATATAACCAGGAGAGGAAAACTGTTCTTTTGAGTGCAATGTCTATCTGAGAGACACATTCTAATTTTAACTTGCTTATTTGGGAAACATTTGTTTTTTATAGTTGGAATCAAAAACAATACCTGAGCTGAAAAAAAGTTTTCTAAAATACTACCATGCTAAAAATTTGGTTTGGTAACAATTTTACACAGCCATTCCCCCATGTTAATTTTTACAGATAATATAATAAAAGTAATATTTGTGTAGAAGATGCCATATACTCAACTGAAATCTTGGTATTAATATTCTTTAAATGTTTTTTATGATCTGTGCAGAAAAATGCTTATTTTGGAATTTCTTAATGCAGTAATTTCTTAGAGTGAAAAGGAAAACACACTTACCAATTGTGTTTGAAATGCTCTGGCCTGCTACTGATGCACATACTTTTAAAGAAAAGCTATGGAAAACAATAATCAATAATTTTTTGGTTAATAGAGTTTTGACTCTGAAGTAAAATCTTTACCTCTTTTCTCTTACTACTCTAATTACAAATACACACAAATAAGTAAACAACTATATAGCCTCCATCCCACCATGTTGATGCAATACTAGTACAATTAAGACAGGGGACATCACAAATGTAGGTAATACTTTACAATATTACTGGAAATTACCTGATTTAATCAATGGATTGATTATGTGCTACCTTTATTTAATAAAGACTTATGAATATATCCCATGAACCAGGGAGTGAAGAATTAGGCAAGATGGCTAGTAGGGGAACTGCTAGCTATAAAGCCTGAAGATGATTAGTAACATGCTCTTCCTTTGAAGAACGTGAAGAAACTTGGTAAGGTTGGAGCACAGAGCAAGATGGGGAAGCTGGAGGAGGCCAGGCTGACTGGGTAGCTTGGTAAGGAACAGGGTTCCGAAAGTCATGTTAAAGAATTTGGATTTAATCCTAAGAGGCATGGACTACCAAGACATGATTAACCTATATCCCCACTCTGTTTGGAAGGAGAACAGAATTTAAGGCTAATTTGCAGGGAGTTGGGGAGGGAGAACATGAGAAGTTTGGAGGGACTCTCTCAATATAATTGGGCACAATAATATGGTCCATAAAGACAATAAAAGAGGGGAGCTGTGTAGGAGAGACTTCATAGTTTTGCCTTGAACATGCACTAAACTCAATCCAGGGAAGTGTCTGCCAGGGATTATACTTGAGCATATTTAGAACTGTGGTCATTGAGGGAATGAGAAATAGAAATAGATGATTGTCTCTGACTCTTGAAGATGCTCATCTCCCTTCTAAAAAATGTCAAGCCCTTCCAGCCTGCATTTGAGATGGGGCTTTTTCGTATTTTAAGAAAGTAAAAATACGAGAAAATACTTAAGTATGATTTAATGACAGTTTTAACATATTTCTGAGTAAAATACTACAGTATGACTTGACTATTTCTACAGAATCCAAAAGAAGTGAATAATCCCTAATCATACTTTAATTATGTGTCAGCTTCCTGTGTCAAATATAATGAAAATATGTCACATCTGGGATTCATCTATCTACCGTGACCTCAGTCAGTGTCTCCCTTTAGGGTAAATAATTTGCCACATGCCATTAAGCCAAAAGTTCCCTGGGATGTCTCTGCTATTGCAAGTATTTGTACCACTTCCTCACAGGAATCACAAATTCCAGCCCACTTCTACTTCAATTAGAATTATTCAAGAAAGACGAGTAATCACATTTTTAAATTTAGCAGCAGGGCCTGGTGTTCAAAATTGGAATTTTTTCTTGTATCCAACTATTTTTTGGAAATATTTGGCTATGTGTTAAAATAGCAGACAAAGATGATGAGCTTTTTAAAATAACATAATTGCTATTTATAATATATTATCAACATATATAAATTAAAATAATTTTAGATACAGTGTGTGGTTTAACAGAGACAATTCAAGAGCAATATTTTTGGAAAAGAACTAGATTAAAGCTATGACTGTGACATTATTTACTGTTTGCGAGAAGATATTTGATTGAAAATGATAGAATCAGTTGAAAAGTTACTACTGATTTATGAATTATATGTCAGCATTAGTCTATTTCTTCCTCATCCTCCTTTTCTGTAACCTTAAAATAATTAAGTGGATGATAAACCATTTTCATACAAATTTAATATAACTGCTACAACATGCTGAATTATTTAGTAATAGTACTCTGACTTAAAGCTGCCAGTTTATACATCTTTTAGCAGAACAGAATTGTCAAGTGATAAGTTTCCAAACAACCTATTCTGATCTAAAAAGAAAACGGCAAGATTTTATAATAATAAATATTCATTCTGAATTTAGAAAAACATAATTATATTATGTATGTTTCCAAACAACCTATTCTGATCTAAAAAGAAAACCGCAAGATTTTATAGTAGTAAATATTCATTCTGAATTTAGAAAAACATACATTATATTATGTTATGCTGTTATGTTATATGTAAACACACACATATCTACATTATGTGTTTTCTATATCAGAGTGTTAGGCTTACTCACAGATCTATACCTAATTATACAGTATACTTCAATTGTCGGGGAAAGCTGTGAACTATTATTAAATTAGTACTGAAATGTCAAACTAGAATTCTAACTAGTTAAACTGTCAAACTAAAATAGTCAAAAGGAATAGGTCTGATTGGACATTAAATCAACCCAGATCCCTCATAACATAAATTCTAAATGAAACTGTTTGTTTATAGTAATTCTGCTATGTCAGAAATCAGGACAACACACTAAAATCCTCTAACACTTCTCCTAAAGCAATTCAACTGTGATTGAAATAACTCTTCTGTGATACAATGGTATATCATGTATGTATGCTATACATCATCCATAGCCATGAATGATGGAGAAAGAACAAGGTAAATGAGAAACTAAACCTAAAACTGCAACCAATTTTTTTTGACCAATTCAATGATAGTATTGGATTTTACATAAGGTTAGGCATATCTGAAAAGTCTTTTTCAAGTTAGAAAAATGGAAAACTATAGATTTTTACATTTCTAAAGTGAAAAGTTTTCACTAGCTTTATTTTTCTAACTGGTAAATACCAGTTATATTAATTCTTTTGAGTGGGCTTTATTTTTTTTCTAATTTGGAAAAGCCAGTAGCAGAATATTTATAAAAGTGCACAGCTGTTTGAAAGACACAGAAATTTACATTGATGGAAGTGAAGAACTGTTTCCCAGCTAGAGTTTACTTAATAGTTTTCAGATGTACAATATGAGGTTATATCAAATACAGACAAAAATTACAGCAAAGAAAATCAACAAATGCCTTTCAATCACTTTGGAAAAACTGAGCTAAATTCCTAGAATAACTTTAAAAAGTATCAAAGAAACACATTCTAGAATGGACCAGCTGCTAATTTTTCATCTTTTAATATTGAGTCATTCAATATTTTGCATGTGAAAATGAAATATCTTTCAGAAAATGTGTGCAGAAGAGTCAAATAAGTAATTACAAAGGTAAACGTTATATATTTGCCCATATAACAAGTTGCATTTTAAATTAATAATGTGATTTAATGCAACAAGAAATGAACCAAAAATAATATTAAATGTAATGTTATAATTGTATAAATGGTTATGTATATAATTATAATGTTAAAAATAATTTTTTCCATAAAACCAAACATCTCAAAATCTGCTAAAACCACTTAAATTTTATGAAAATATTCAAAGGACTAGAAATCCTTAGATTTTTTAGAAAGAAATGATATAGTCAAATGAACATTTTTATATATAAGAACATGCTGCACACACAAAAAGAACCTGGTCCCCAAGCCCATTAGATTATGAATGCATGAATACTGGACTATTGGGCAAATACTGAAGCTTTAATACTTGTGTGCAAGTAGCTCTCACAGTTCATTTCATGTTTATTTAATCATGCCACGGTTTAGAATAGATGCTGGCTCTTTCACATATTTTCTCAGATCAGGTTTTCATTATAATATTTTATGGCTTTAAATCATTTTAAAATGTGCTCAGGGCATTTCCCAGCTACTTTCAAAAGCTGGTAAAGGAAGTCTCCCCAAATTGGGAGCTCCCAGCGAAGGATGTTTTTCAAAGGATTCCTCAGGGTTCTCCTTATGCCCCCCCACCCCCCAGGCTTTGACTCTGCTATGAACTCCTGTCAAGAGGCTGTCAAAAAACACACTGAAATTGGCTAGAAATAATGTCTTTAGGTCAAGACTGGTTTGTTCTGCATTCTGATATTCTCAGGAACAAAACATATTGAGTTAGACTACATCTTCTAGAAAATGAGGGCAATTTTCAAACCCTCCAAATATTTGCTGACTTTTCAAAGGAGATACCAGCTGACATTATCCAATAGGACAGTCTGGTGGCCCTTGAGGATCTACAGATTGAGAAACAAAGTGACATTTTCTCCAGCTTGTTATAATCAGGGTTCATTCTGCAGTCCTTTCAAGATGATAAGGCTCCAGAACACTGTCAGGAGCTGTATACTCCATGTTCTCTTAAGGTCTGGGCAAAGGAACTATGATTCTATCACTATTCCTGATAATGAAATCATGGCCACAAAAATACAGTTTAGGTCACAGAAATCTCTATTTTTATAATGTTTACATCTGTCTAATTGCATATGCTAAGTTACAAAACTGACATCTGTTTTCAGCATAGGAAACCAAGTAATTTAACCCAAGCTTGACAATTAAAAAAGAGAGAAAAATTGCTTTCAAGACTATCCAAAATAAGGCATTTCAATTACAGGAGGACTGTGGAAAATGATGTATATCAAAAATAAACAATTAGCCTACTTTAAAAAAAAATCGAGAAAGGATTTATATGGGTTAATTTATCCATTATAAAATAATGTATGTTTGATGTAGAAATTTGGAAAAATAAATATATGTAAATAGAGAAAAAGCACCTATGACTCCAACTTAAAGATCTACTCTAAACATTTTAGTATTTTTTAAGGCTCTTTTTCTGTGTGTAGATTGTGTGTGACATAGTTGTGATGAAAGTATAAATGCAATAGTGTGTCCTGAAAAATTTATTTCACTTAATGTTGCATGTGGCTATAAAATCTTTGCAAAAATTTTAAAAGAGAAAGAACATTGTGTGTGTGTGTGTGTGTATATATGTATATGTATCTATATTTGAAAAGTGGCATTCATAAGCATATGCAAATATAAGAGTAGAGGTATTTTTATTATACTTTTCACTTTGGTTAATGTTTATTTTAGTGGCTAAAAAGAGAGCTCCAAGATGTTTCACTTGACATTTCCCCTAAAGTTTTTATGTTTCTTATGTTTCTTGGAACCTGGACATTGGAGAAGTAACCTTCATGTGAAGATTACTTCATTACTTCATTACTTCATGTGAAGATTACTTCACATGAGCATGATATCGTAGACCCCCCCTTTTTCCTTTGAGAAGCAAAACACTTGCCACTTAATTTGGATGCACAGACCCATAGCATCTGCACATTTTGGGAGCTTTTTTATAAAAGCAGAGTCTCAGGCCCCACCCCAGACTTACAGGTCCAGAAGCTGAGCTTTCACTAGAAACCCAGGTAATCTTGTGTGAGAAGCATGTACTCACCAGGCCACAGGTGTCAGAGATCCTGGAATCTGGCAAGTTTTATTTTCAAGATTGATAATCATTGGGTGCAGCAGAAGCTGGGCATCCACAGTCACCACTGGCCTTGCTCTGCAAGGAGAAAACACAGGGTTTTAGTGAGCCACATGAGTGGCAGGCAGAAGCCCATCTGCTTCCAGAAGCTACTGCCAACATTCCCAGCCTCTGTGTCAAGAATTTGCATCACCGTGTGAACAGGTGGACACCAGACTCAACTTATTACTCCAGACATATGGTAGCTCATGAATACAAATAAAGGATGCTATGGGCCTGTCAAGTGAGGCCATGTTCCCAAAGCCGCTTTGTTGATGGAGTGGGCTCGGGGTGTTTTGGCAATATAGCTGTGAAATACTGCTTTGGCATCTGCTAGCTTATATTTACTATCATTCCTGTTTGTCAGTGCTGAGTTTTGCAAGTTTTCTTGCCTTTATTGGTGATTGATAATTTTCTGGTCATGCTTTGTGGATTTAACAAAACACATGAAGGTAGAGTACTTCATGCAGAGCAGTGATTCTCAGTCCTCACTGTACAATATAAGGAACCTTAGACACCACACCCAGGCCCCATCACAGATGAATGGAATCAGGACCTCTGGGGGTAAGGGCCATGCAAAGGAATGTGAAACAAAACTCCCAGGTGATTCAAATATGGCCAAGTTTGAGGAGAGACTAATCTAGAGTAAACTCAATTCTAACCACCCAGGTAAGAATAACCAGACAAGAAAATAAATCATAAATCATAGGGGAATGGAATGCGGCAATTTTTAAAGCTTGGTTCTAAGCTATGATAGATGAGGAGCCAGGTGTCCAGATGACAAGGTAAAATGGTTGGCCAAGGTTTCCTCTGACAGGAGGAAGGACTGTGCCTTGGGGCTACAGGTTGTTTATGGCACTACTTTAAACAGTTTTATGATTACCACAGTCGGGCCCCCTGTGAGTTTTCCTAAACTTGTTACATTATTTTTCTGTGCTTTTTTTTTTTTTTTTTTACATAATTTTGTTTTTAATTTTGTGCTAGCTCCAGTCCTTGGAAAAACAGTACGACAGGATTAGATAGACTGGGATGCAGGTGTGATTCCTGTGAAGGGGAGAGGGAAGAACATTCCAGTTGGGCTGCTGGGGAGTCTTGTCTCATAGAATTGGGCCTGAATTTGTATCTCTGATATTCAGTAATTGCCTCTGAACAGCTCATGGGAAATACTTTGTGGTGGGCCCAGCATAGCTTTTGGGCCATGAGTCTGTATCCCTCTGTCAGCTTTGAGTGGTACATCATTGTGGCCACCACAGGCATAACCCTTTTTTCAGGTGCTTTGAGAGTTCAAACATCTGATTTTCTAAAACCTCAAGTGGGGAGTCACTGGTATACATCAGTCCCCTAAGTATGTCTTGGGACTGATAAAAAGGAAAATCTTACTTGTATGAGGAAACCTAACCAGAAACTCTGAGAGTTGGGCTAAGTGAGCACTATAGACCCCATCCACCTGGTCTGTCCAGTACTTCATGATATCACTTCTATGTGAAATCTAACTGCCCTCTCCCTCCATAAAAGGAACCTGAACTCACAAATACAGTGAACAGACTGGCAGTTGCCAGAGGCATGGGGGTGGGGATAGGAGGTGAAATGGATAAAGTGGATGAAAAGGTACCAACTTCTAGTTATAAAATAAATAAGTCGGGGTAATGTACAGCATTGTGACTAAATTAACACTACTGTGCTGTATATTTGAAAGTTGCTTAGAGAGCTGATACTAGAAGTTCTTATCAAAAGAAAAAAATGTTTGTAACTATGTGCGCTGATGGATATTACCTAGACATATTGAGGTGGTTATTTCACAAAATATACAAATACTGAATCAAGCTTTTCACCTGAAACTAATATAATGTTATCTGTCAGTTATATCTTTTAAAAAAATTGCACACCACCAACCACATACCTGTAAACAGCTACTTTTCCCGTTCCGAATGCACCCACAATTAAATCTAAAAAGACAAGAATATAAAACACATGGACAAATGTTATAAAATTTAACCTCATGATCATAAACAGCACATGAAGCATCTACGTGCTGATTGTGGAAAAAGAATCATAAAAATAGAAACCATGCCTTTATGACATTTTGGAAAGGATACTGAAACCACTATAACAAATTCAAATGACACCTACACCAGTAGATCTCAAATCCTTCTGAAGTAGGGAAAGTCAACTTTCTAGGAATGCTTAAGAAATTCATCATGACTATTTTTCCTCTCCTCTTCCAGACTCAATGTGCACATCTTATGGAAAGACACGTAGGTGTGGAATCTACTGTGTACAAGTCTCCTTAGACATTTTGTTTCATTATCCCCCATCCACCAGTAGTATTAACCATAAAATAGGACATTTTGAGTGTAATTTTGATGCAACCATTTTCTTGCTTTTCATGGATAATATGCATGGTGAGTACACTTTTGTCAAAGTGATCACTTATATATGAGTAATTGATGTCATAATGCCCTTAAATAACAACGACGATAGCAATAAATAGCAATATTGCATACTTACTCTAGGCCAAGGATTCTTTACATGATTGACCTTGATTGATTTTTAACAAGAGGTAGGAAGTCCCATTATTAGTGCAATTTTGCAGATTTAGTGAATTGAGGCTTGAGTGTAACCTACAAATTCACTAAAGTGTACACAGGTTAGAAGAGGTGGAGTCAGACACTAGCAGTGTTAGCTATGGAGCAGTCATTGACTGGTTGAGGGATAATATTCACAATTATCTCCGTGATTCGCTAATATATTGGTAAAACTATCTGTTTTTCAAAATCTAATGTATAATGGCTATTCTTAGTGGATGCAAACAGAAGTATAAACAACAGTGACTAAATCTGCAGAAGTAAAAGTAAGATGTAGATCTAAGAAAACTGGATTTGGTCGAAATAATGGCCACAGAGGAAAACTCATAACAATTGAAACTAAACTGGTTAATTCTAGTAGAAAAGAAGGGAAAATGGAGAAAGAGTGGGGGGACTTATTAGGCCACTCCATATGGAAAATGAATCAGGGAATTAAATTAGTTTAATGGCGTTTGCATAGGAAAATGATTTGTAGCCTCATTCCCTTGGCAGTCACCTTTCTAGTACAGAGGAAAATACAGACTGCAAGCAAATAAGATGCTTCTCTGGAGGTTTCTCTTGGCTGGGCCAGGGCAGGATGGAAGTGCCCCTGCCATAACCCTCAGCCAATGATGGATAGGGGAACTGGACCAGAATAGGACCCACAGCTAGCACAGCTTCCTTTTACCCCTCACATGAGATACTTCTGAAGCATGTTCTTTGCTGTTTCCTAGATTTTCCCACGAAGGTAGAGTCCTCATTGCCCACAATGTCAACCTGTTCAATTCTAATCTTTTATTGCCTCTTTTCTTTCCATGTCTCTTTGCTTTAGTGATGCTTTTTTTTGGGATTATTTCCCAAATAAACTGTTTGTTTCTAGTCCTTGCCTTAATATCTTTTCCGGAAGAATCCAACCTAAGACACAGTAATTCTTATTAAAGTTTTTTTTTTTTTTTTAAAGAATTGTATACTTCAGGGTTAAGATGACAGTCAATGTGTCTCATGATTTCTAGAATCAAATTCAGATAAATAGAGTCAGGATTGAACTCCAAAGCTCCATATTTGAAAAGATGTCTATGTTAATGTTCAAACAAGTCAAATGAAAGGCATTGAACGAGCTTTGTATTTGTGAGATTAAAGAGCAAGTTAAGAAAAGTTAAACTCAGTCTAAGCTTCATGGAATTAAAAGATTGCTTTCTAAGGGTTTAGATCTTTGATTTTAGAAGCCAAAGTTTCTAAGTTTCCACTTTTAAAAATTAAAACAAAAATTTACATCAGAAATTTCAACTGCTTTCATATTTATTTTTCCTGTTACTTTCACCTCTTGCAGCATATCAGTGCATTTTTTGCTAGGTCAGGAAAAAAGAGCTACTGATTGGAAGAAACATGAACTCGCTTCTTACTGTGTAATCACAGACTCCAATATTTAGACAAGTGTAACACACGTGGCTGCAGGCCAGACCCATATCTGTTGACATGACACCAGCTAGGAGAGTTCTGTTATGAACACTGATAAGGAGGAATTAAGCGCTTTGTACTTAACTCCAAATAAGGTGAAGTATTTATCAAGATTAGACATTTTAGTAATAACAAGTGAATTTTAAGAATTAATTCTCTGGAAATGGCAGAGAGAAGACTGTAAGCTCTTCCAGGGCAGGGATAATCTTTCTTCAGGTTTGCATATCACATTTGCATATCTCCACTTTATCCAGTGGTGTGGATTGAAATAAATGAAGAAAGAAATGATCTTTGTATCCACAGTAATAATCTTTGTAACACAGTACCAGAGCCAGAGCAGGGCCTTTATAGATGCCTGTGAACTAAGGAGAGAAGTGGCAATGAGGTAATAGACTGAAGGGGAGAGAGATGGAGCAAATACCACTATTAAGACAGACTAATGTAAACCACAGTGAAATTCTGCTGACTTGCAGACACACTTGAGGGTGTTGGGAGAGAAATACACACACAAACAAGTTCCAGATTCTAGAAAATAATATACAGACTGCATCATGACTAGATTTGTCGCCATATATGTTTTTAATTTTATTTTTTATTGAGTTAATGTTGTTTTACATGGTTATTTGTGGTTTTAGAGGTATAAGATCTCCCCTTTCAGGTGCTGTTACTATATCACACCCACTGCCAAAGCACCCACAGTTCATACCCATAGTGCATGCCCTCCCCACATTGTTCTCTCCTTGCCTCGCCCAACCCCTCCCAATAGTCACAGTTCCACATAGATTGTCACTATAGATGAGAAGTTGAGAGACCCTTCTGGTGATAATATGCAAGAGGCTTTGCATTTAGGAACTTTACATCCTGTGCCTTCTGGTGGGAATTTTCCTACTCTGGAAAAATTAAACAACTGGCAAAACAGACCACAATTTTCTTCATGAGAATGTGGCCACGGTTATTCAGAGGCCAAGAAAACAGTTATCTACCACAAAAGTATGTTTGTCTTTTGAGACACCACCTTGGTATCATGCCTGCTGGAAAAGGCCAGAAGCATTTATGCACAAAACCTTGAAATGATCAGATCTCTCGAGGGGAAGAGAATTGATTTGCTGTTTTATATTTCTAACCAATTTGTCCTTCTAAAATATGTGATTTGTTTTGATAATTACTATGTAGTTCTGTGTGTGTGTATAAAATGTTATATACATATTCCATATATATGTTTGTGTATGTGGATAGACTCATGTAGGTGTATATGGATATACACAGACATATATGCAATATATGCACAAAATATTTTCTAAAAATCTTCCATATTCCATTATGCTCAGGAATTTAAATGATAATCAGAAGACAAAGAAATTTTGGTGCTAATATTTGGATTCCTAACTCTGCAGATTTTCTCCCTCACTTTGAGATAACAGATCTTATATCATTGTCTAATGTTTACTTTCCTTTCTTGTAAAAACTTCTTAAAGGCAGTCAGAAAACAAAGAAAACTGTTGCCTTTCTTTATATATAAACACTTTAGCCAGCAACTAAAATTGATTCTTTCCATTTAGTCAAAAACTGTTCTCAAAATGCTGGAGTCCTTTGTTATCAACTCACACTGCCTGAGAAACATAGTTTATTTTACTTTTGACTTTTAATGGAACAACTGAGTACTTTTAAGGATACAAAAGGGAGACATTAGCATGAATGCAGGGTTAGTTGGCAAGAGAAAATAACCCTAAAAATGTGAGGTCATAGGAATGTATTATACTTCTCCTTTGTATTTTATTCCTTCAAAATTATTATTTTTAAACAAGAAGAAGAAAAGAGCCAAGCTTTTAAAGTGTGCTTGGTATATGGGGCCTGATTTCATTAATCTATGAAGGAAAATCTAGAGTTGCAGGAAGTTTATGTGAAAACATCAGCTTTGTTTTGAGTGTGGATTTTAAGTTTGGGCCTAGGTAGGCAGAGGCAGGGAGAGAGACAGTGGATATTTTAAAAGGAAGGAGACAGATGGGGGAGAAGACAATAGGAGGAGAGGTGACAGTCTTAGATTAAAGAGTCACCCAGAATTGTTCCCATCTCTGTGGCCATCCTACCTGCACATTTCATAAACTTAGCTTTGCTATCATTACTTTACCACTTTATACTCCCTCATCATAATGACAAATACAAGAGAATGCTGAAGTCTGAGTATGAGTGCCATCAGACACCTCTTTTTTTTTAATCTTGAATTTAAAAGTATTTATTATTTTAAGATCATTCCAGACAATGAGAACTGCCATAAAGGACTTCTAAGTAAGCGAGGAACATGGCAAAGTAAAATTAACAGTTGTATGAAAAAATTATGATTACTCAAAGGGGAGACCTCCATAAACACGAACAAAAAATGCAGAAATCAAAAGGAATTTTAAATTTAAACTTCTTTTGCAAAAAATTCAGAGCAAGATTGAAAGAGAAGTGAAAGAAATGGGGGTGGTGGTGGCGAGGAATGTTTATAATTTATATGCCTGATCAAATGTGAATATTTTCCAATGCTTACAAGAATGTCTGGATCCTAGTAAAAAAATGTTAATTATTATTATTGAATCTAATTTGTAATAAACTCATACAAATTAATAACAAAGTATAAACACTTTAATTAAAAGATTATAGACAATTCATGGAAAAACAAATGATGATAAAGATATGAAAAGATATTCAAATTCTCTAGTCATCAAAGAAATACAAACGAAAGCAACAGTGAGATATCATCTGACCTTTCAAACTAGAAAAGATGAAAAAGATTAATACAGGCATGTTGAGTAGAGAACCAAAAACCCAGAGCGCATACCCTCTTGTTAGAGGGAGTGTACATTGGCACAATTTTCTTGCAAGGGATTTTGCTGATATGTATGAACAATGCAAACCTTTGACCCAGCAATTGCAATTTGAGG